CAGGGGCTTACATGCTCACTTTGAGGGCGGCAGATCAAAGTTTTGTGTTTTGAAAATCTAATGGACGCAGTTCTGCGATAATGATATGGTAGATTTATGCTCTATTCTTCTTTCACTGGAAACAGAACACTATTTTTGACTGCAATCCCAAAATTGACCAAGATTTGTCAGAGACAGGTTCTTCTAACCAGCAAATGAAAGGGTGTGAAGATGAGAAAAGGGCACTAAAAAAAATCAGCACCTGTGATTCATTCTCAACAAACGGTGCAGGCTTTTAACGTTGCTTGACAGCTGTGAGAATGGGGCGGCGTGCATTTGAAAGCTTAATTTGATTTTCCCTTGTTAAGGGCGCTAAAAAAAATCAGCACCTGTGATTCATTCTCAACAAACGGTGCAGGCTTTTAACGTTGCTTGACAGCTGTGAGAATGGGGCGGCGTGCATTTGAAAGCTTAATTTGATTTTCCCTTGTTAGTCATTCTGTTGATTGTTTCCACGCCCTCCGCAGGGTACCGCACCCACGAGAAGAAAAAGAGCCACAAATATGACTCCAAATCCAGCCGGCTCCGAAAGAAGCCACGCGAGAAGGAAGGCACATCGCGGAGAACCAAAGCGTCCAGTCAGCGGCCCGCCCGTTCCCATAGCGACGATGAGGAAGACGAGGGCGTGCCGGCCAGTTACCACACGGTGTCTTTTCAGGTTAGTCTGGACGTAAGTACAACAGCCCTTTCCCTAATTCCTAGATCTGTCCATCATCATGTTTGCCGATCTGCTCGGTGGGGGAGAGCCATGTGATCATTTCACATTTGAAACTCTACACTATAGTAGAAAAATTATTTTGTTTCATTTAGGTTTGTTTCATTTTAGAACTTTTAAAATATTACTTGTCAATACTAATACCAGTACAATTTCACAGTTCTTAAGTTTTGATGCCACAGCAAAAACTAAAATGCTATTGAGCAGAGCTTCATTTAAAAAGCTAAACGTGAATTATTAAATAACAAATTGAATTAACAAAATTAATAGTTAATTAACAATTAAAACAGTAGTCCAAGTATTTCACAATTAAGTACACATTGATTTAAAGTAAGCAGTAATATGATTTTTTTTTAAAAAGTAAATTTTTAGGTCTCTAACAATAGCATGAAGTACTCGAGTAAAAATTTAGAAGCTGACAAAAAAACTGAAAAGATATCTAATGTTTAATTAAACTTAAGTTTTGACTGCATTGTTATTAGATATTAATACAAATTTGTCTGAATCTCACTGAGAAGCTGCTGTTGCATTGTAATTAAGATTATCCGTGATTTTTTTTCCTTTTAAGGCTAACTTGTTCATTTTTTCTTTAAATGTTTTCAATAATTTTTTATATATACAATTATATTATTACTGAATTTAATTTATTATACATATTGCCATATTTTGCTTAAAGAAAATCAAGCCTATTTTTGTGACTATTTTCACGATTCTTTTTAAAATTCATGACTAATTTTCACACCTTCTAATTCTTAGTTTCTTATTTACAAAATCTCCTTTTTATTACAGTAATGAAAAAATATATATATATTTATTTAAATATGTGAAGTACATTTGGAAAATCCGATTATCGTAGTAGTATGTTGTACTGCTGTTAAAAATAATCATCTCTGACCAAGATGATTTTTATTGCTTTATCACAGTAATGACTAAGGTTTTTATGCCATTAAATATTGATAGAAATATGCTCAATTGTAATTTAAAAAGGCATATTACAAAAATGTTAATTATTCAAATATAGCCTTTTTTTCAATATGAATATGGCCCGACATATCTTTGTGATGTTTGCCTGGGGAAGCATGCTTTCCCCATATTCATAACCTGAATAGTGCACATAAAAGCAATATCATGATGTCTGAACAGTATCAAATGTATAGCATGTTCTTTCTGCCTGTTTACCCGTCATGTCTCAGTAGTGGTTGTAAAACAATCATTTCTATTGTCCCTATTAATAAGATGAAAGTGAGTCTGTTAGAAAAGCAAATATTCATTTAATACACCAGATATGCCCCTGAGTGTTCAGTGATTATTAAAACAGCCTGTTTGCCCATATAGTTGTTAGACCTGATGCATACACTGCACACACGAGCAGCCGGCATCTACAGCTCGTGGGCAGAGGAACAGCGCCATCTAGAGGATGCTGGCAGAAAGATCGAGGCAGACTCTCGAACACTATGGTCCAGCTGCTGGTGTCCTCTCCTTCAAGGTCAGAGACTAGCCAAAAAGCATATTAGCAAGCCTCAGTGTCAATTACAAATGCTTAGAATAACAAAGTTTTTGTTGTAAACTAAGTGATAATTTCATTTGTTATATCTGATGTTATATTGAATGCATTAAAGGGATTAAAGAGTTCACCCACAAATGAATATTCGGCCATACTCACCCTCATGTCATTCCAAACCCATAAGACTTTTGTTCATCTTCAAAACACAAATGAAGACATTTTTAATGAAGTCTTAAATATATCTGTCCCTCCATTGACAGTTATGTAACTGCCTCTTTGATGCTTCAAAAAATTCATAGAGATTGTTAAACTAACCTATATGAATTGAAACTGAAGAGATCCGATCACTGTATATGATGTGTGCATTGATTAGTCCGTGCCGATAGCCTCAGTGTGTCGACACGTAGCACCGGTGTGCTACTCTCTCCCACTTCACTTCCTCTCTCACTACTTTCCTGTCAGATAAAGCCAAAAATTAATCTTAAAAAAAGCCTAAATTAAGTCTGTTCATCATATAAAGAGATTGATTCTCCATAGAAAATTTACTAAATTCATATAGATTAGTTTTACGATGTCTTTATGAACTTTTGTGAAGTGTCAAAGTGGTAGTTGCGTAGACTGTCAATGAAAGGACAGACATCTTTCAGATTTCACTATAATTCTCTTCATTTGTGTTGTGAAGATGAACAAAAGTCTTAGAGGTAAGAGAGTAAATGATCGAATTTTAATTTTTGGGTGAACTGTCCCTTTAAAGGAGGTGGATGTTCAGAGATGCTCTGTAACTTGTGCGTTTTGGCCTTGTAGGTATGGCTTGGTTGTGCTGTGATGCACGGAGGCAAGTCCGCATGCAAGCTCTCACCTACCTACAAAGGGCACTTCTTGTACATGATCTACAAACTTTGGATGCAGTGGAGTGGGAGTCCTGCTTCAACAAGGTAAACTAGTTCTGTTTGGCTATATAGTGTTAGTTTAACATGCATTTTAATTTTTACAAAACTGTAATATGTATAACTGAGAAATGATGGTGATTTCTGTCTTTTTTTAGGTCATGTTTCCTCTGCTGACAAAACTCCTAGATAACGTCAGTCCAGCTGATGTGGGAGGCATGGAGGAGACCAGGATGAGGGCCTGCACACTGCTTTCTAAGGTCTGGCCTTGGACTTCTTTGATTATTAATCCTAATAATTTCAACCGTATTTAAAGAGTGATTGTACGTGTCTTTTGTCTCCTCAGGTGTTCCTGCAGCATCTCTCTCCTCTGCTCTCTCTTCCCACATTTGCTGCCCTCTGGCTCACCATATTAGACTTCATGGACAAGTACATGCACGCCGGCTCCAGCGACCTTCTGGTAAGATGCTCTCAGATAGTGAGGAATATTAAAGGAAATTATACACCCCAGCCTGTTCTCAGCTTTGCGTCGTGCCTAACAACGCCCCTTAGCTGTTATAAATTCACTGTAAACCACGGCTTCTTGGGGCTTATTGCTTTAGTCAACCACACTCAAGGTTCACGCAAACACAGTTGTGTCTTAAGTGAACGTAAACAATTGGGAGAAACTCAGATGTGTGGCAGTATATTGGATTTGTGCATTGGGTCTTAAAGTGACAGCAGCTGCTAATATGTCTGCATTAATATTAATCAAACAACAAAAGACAAACAAAAAAAATCACTCAATGCTCTTGACTGAAGAACTTTTGAAGCTTTAATAAGAATCAATGTATATAAAAAATCATACAGTGAAGACTGTGCAGTTTTGAAAGAGAGTTGTGATAAGATTATGAATCGTGTTCCTGCCTGAAATAAATTGTGATGTGTTATTTTGCTATCAATCACTCCTAGATAAGATGTTCATAGATTTACAGCAAAAAAGTGATTAAATCCTGAGTGCTGATGAGTCTGTGTGTGTAACTTTGGTGCACAGCTGGAGGCCATCCCTGAGTCTCTGAAGAACATGCTGCTGGTGATGGACACAGCAGGGATCTTTCACAGCGCAGACTCCCGTACAGGCTACTCAGATTTGTGGGAAATCACCTGGGAGAGAATCGACTGTTTCCTGCCCCGTCTGAAGGAGGAGCTCTTCAAACAAGCTGTCATTCCAGGTACTGAGCACTCAATAAACACAATACTCTCATTTAACATATGAGTTCAACCGTGTACAACACGGGTTTGAATTTGGTTAGCTTAAATCCTCAGTTTTTTTTTTTGTACAGAACCTGTGTGTAATGTTCCTGTGGAGCCTGTCCCAGCGCCTGCTGCCATTACCCCAGCCTCTCCCCCTGTGCCAGCCCCCTCACCAGTGCCAGCTACCCCCGCAGAGCCAAACATCCCCAGCAGACCCGCGTCACCTCAGGATACGCCCACACCTAGTGCCAACGGTGATCGTAAGCATCATTTAGACACATTTAACATATTGAATAGGAGTGGGTGGTATAACGTTATTATGGGTATAGTTTTCACTTAAAGTTTATTTCATCAAAAATACAGTATAAACAGTAATATTCTGAAATATTGTTAACATTTTAAATGTTTTCTATTTTAACATATTTTAAAATATAATTTATTTCTGTGATGCAAAGCTGAATTTCCAGCATCGTTCCTCCAGTCTTCAGTGTCACATGATCCTTCAGAAATCATTCTATTATGATGATTGGGTGCTCAATTATTATTAGTATTCATGTATCAATAATGGTTTTCATTATTAACAATGTAGAAAAAAAGGTTTTAAAAATGTTTTTACTGCTTAATATTTTTTTATTATATTATTTTATTTATATATTTTTTGTAATATTATTAATGTCTTTACTGGCACATTTGATCAATTTAATGCATTCTTGCCGAATAAAAGCATTAAGTTTTCACAATATTACTGTTTTTACTGTATTTTTATCAAAACTATAATTAAACAATTATATGCAGCCTTGGTGAGCATGAGACTTCTTTCAAAAAAAATAAATAAAAAAAAATAGTAATTATTTTAAATAATTTGCCGTTTGGTATGTGGAAAATGATACATTTATGACACTCTAACGGATATAAAATTCTAAAGAACAGCGTTTATTTACAATAGTTTTTACTGTCACACCAATGCATAGTTTCTGAATAAAAGCATTTATTTATTATTAAAAATATATTTCTGACCCCAAACTTTAAGAATATTGTATATCAAAATAATTTTTTTCTCAACGAAAATTGAAAATTTTTAAATTTTTCTCAATAAAAATTGTCAAAATATTGTGAACTTTTCTGCTTTCTTTAATTGTAATTATTTTAAATAATTTGCAGTTTGGTATGTGGAAAATTATACATTTATGACACTCTAACGGATATAAAATTCTAAAGAACAGCATTTATTTACAATAGTTTTTACTGTCACACCAATCCATAGTTTCTGAATAAAAGCATTTATTTATTATTAAAAATATATTTCTGACCCCAAACTTTAAGAATATTGTATATCAAAATAATTTTTTTCTCAACGAAAATTGAAAATTTAAAAATTTTTCTCAATAAAAATTGTCAAAATATTGTGAACTTTTCTGCTTTCTTTCCTCTGTGCAGGATCAGACAGATCATCTCCAGTTCCTCCCTCAACACCTCCGATGCCCACTCCACTGTATGTCAGGTTTGATTTTATTTTGATGGGTATTTTTATTCGTAAGTTGTCTTAAAGAGAGGTGGTTTTGTTGCTCGTGTTTTATGCTGTATCACTGAGGCACTTCTGCTCTTTGTAGCTCTCCCTGTCAAGAATTTCTCATGGACAATACATAATTTCTTCCAAATATAAGTTTCTGCTGTTCTTTCTATTAACTATCGCTTTATTGCGGTGATCTCGGCTCTGGAAGTTTACAGACCACTTTTAGGTTGGTATGAATTAATGAATGCTTCATGAGAAGTAGATCTCAGACGAGAGCTATAAAATTCACTAATATAAAAGTATAATAGCTCTCAGACCTGCACCTCCTTCCATCAGCCGAGACCACCCACGAGCAGCTCCAGTGCATTTAGCGATCAGCGTTTGACCTGAGACTTATGCTATGTTTGGATCAGTATCGAGACTGTAGGTTCGTCAGAGAACGAGACTGTAATTTAATGTAGATTGTCACTGCAGTGACAGCAGATCAATGATCACACCATCACAAACCTAAGAGGTGGCTGTGGACAGATGGACGGTTTCTTTTCTTTGTATGTTCACTTGTTGTACTGCATTCTTCGATACATCAGGAACTAATTCTGTAGTCAACTGGTAATTCAATAAAAACAATCTGTATATATATGAATAAAAGTTAATGTACTTTTTACAATGTAATAAATATATGGTCAAATATCCTAATCCTGTGTCATTGTTTTCTCTTGTGTCAATCATGTTTTATTGCTTTATTTAATTAGAATAATTTAGGAGGCTAAGATCCAGAGAGGAGAATCTAAAGTTCGGCCAAAAATTAAAATTCTGCTATTCATTCACCCTCATGTTTTTTTTTTTTTGTCCATACAGTGGAAATCAATGACCACAAACGAGTTGGTTACCTGCAAAGTCAGGTTTGGAATGACATGAGGGTGAGTAAACGATGAAAATGCCCATTTTTGTGCAGACTATCCCTTTAATCTACATTGGAGGTTGATTTATACTGCCAAACTCCTAAAAAAAAGCTTAAAGTCCCCCTGTAGTCAAAAATGATCCTTTAAAACTCATCTTTGATTATCAAAAGTACATATTTAAATGTTTTTTCTTGTGAAAATAATTTTCTCATGCCTTTAAAATAGCTTGAATGCAACTCTACACCCTTGCCTCATTTATTATACGCGGATCTATGAATATGCAAATTAGCCCCGCCTCCACTCAGTCACACCGCTGCAGCGGGTTATTATTCAAGTTAGCGGTTCTAAATACAAATAAATAAGCACTAACAGCACAAGACATCGTGAAAATAGGGGTAAATATTAACAGTTAGCGAAACATCTACAGAAAAACTATATAACTTACCGGATTAGCCTGGCTGCCTTCTCATTAGACCCTCTGCTTTGCAGCACAGTTAATGATATGCTGAGGATTGGAGGATCCCTTGACAGGATTGTAGCAAAAAAGGCTGTTTCAAACCTGTTTCTGTGACTGCCTTTGGGAAAGTACAGTTTTAAGGAGAAAATACTCAGCAATGGTGTTGATAAATAAATTGGCACATGATTTGTCTAAAAACACCACAAATAAACATAAAAAACTTGATTTCACCACAGGGGGCCTTTAAGTAATCCATAGGTCATGTGACTAATGAGAACCCTTTAGGGCAGGGTTCCTCAAATCTTGCCCTGGAGGGCCAATGTGCTGCAGAGTTTAGCTCCAACCCTGATCAAACTCAGCTACCTGTGATTTTCTAATGATCCCGAAGACATTGATTAGCATGCTCAGGTGTGTTTGATTAGGGTTAGAGCTAAACTCTGCAGGAAAGTGGATCTCGTGGGCCAGATTTGAGGATCCCTGCTTTAGGGGTTGTCTTTGATGACATCTGATGCATCTAATCTTTCGAGAAAATGAGATGACTTTTTGCAGCAGTTCACAACTTCCACCTCATTTTCCCCATAAGAGCGGGCGCGGCCATTTGTAAATTTTATGTGCCAGGCTTCCGGTCCGCTTCAAGCTATTTTTAGTTGTACAAAACAGCTGGTTTTGCTGCTTGTTATTGCAAACTGCTGTCTTACAGTATTATTTTAACGTATTATCCTAAATATGAACACACTGGTTTGTAGTACAGTTTTATGGTTGTGGCTAGAAGGGATACAACTCCGACCGTAAACTAACAGTGAAATTTAATTTTCTACCTATTAGATAGTTTTATTAACATCTAAACCTACCCCTTGCAATAATAGTAATTATTGTTGTACAGTGTGACAAAAATTACGCTGTATTGATATGCGCATGCCCAGTAGCCACAGCTGTTTCCCCCTCTAGCCCTAACCCAGTTTTACCCATAAGCATAATTTAAAGGGGTCATATGTTGCTAAAAAGAACATTATTTTGTGTATTTGGTGTAATGAAACGTGTTTATGTGATTTAAGGTTCAAAAAACACATTATTTTCCACATACTGTACATTATTGTTTCTCCTCTATGCCCTGCCTTTCTGAAACGTGTCGATTTTTACAAAGCTCATCGTTCTGAAAAGCGAGATGTACTGTGATTGGCCAGCTATCCAGTGCGTTGTGATTGGCCGAATTCCTCAAGTGTGTGACGGAAATGTTACGTTCCTTACCATACTGTGATGCCTGCGGGAACCCACATGTGATGACCCCGGGCTGGACTCTGCTTCGTCCACGGTGAAAGCCGATCCGGTGATCCACAGCGCTAAGTTGATGTATTTCCTCAGCGACCAGCACGGATCAGCTCCAGGCATGACGAAGCGGATATCGTCCTCTTTTGGAAGACCAAATAAAGTAGTTTCGCTTTCACAACGAAGCACACAGCGCCTTCACATGGTGGCAGCAGCAACAATACTACAGCGAGAATAAAAGGTACGCCTTCTTTCTTTGCGTGAACATTTGGGCGACGTTATGCAAATCTTCCCACATAGTGACCTAGACATGTGGGGGCGTGTTAGAACGAGCCGTTTTAGGTAGGCGTGGTTGACTCTGAACTTTTATAAAGAATATCTCTTTGGATTTGAGACTTTAGTCTTTGCAACTTTACAGATCTTCTTTATGCACCAAGAGCTTGTAACACTCCAAAGAGAAAGGACAAATTGAAATCGCATCACATGACCCCTTTAAATAAAGAAAGAAAATGGGGGTTTGGAAGAACATGTCTGAATAAATGCTGAAAAGTTTTGAAAATTGAAAGGCATTTTCAACTTGTATGGAAAAAGAGCTCAACCTGTGGTGTAAAACATTTTTTATTTCAAAGCAGAACAAGAAACACTGTTTTTTTTTTTTTTTAAACCAAAACGGTCAGAAACCACACATGATATCTAGCCAAAAACAATGGTCAAATGTTCAACTCTGAACATGGAATGTAAAAAGATCATTCTAAGGATAAAAATGGCAAACAATGAAGATTAAGTTGATCTAGTCTAAATGAATGTCTTTACTTTAAAGGAGAACAGTGAAACATAAATGTGTACAGTACATCACTCACAAATATCCTTGTTTAAACACCTTCGAATAATCTGTTGTCAAAAACATATACCTACAACATCTTTCACCAAGATGCACTACACTCCACTTAGTACGCTCCTACTAGCCTGGATGCACTCTCCGCTAAAGCTCACGTTCAACTCATTTCACCTTCCCACGACGGTGAGGCCGACAAAACCAGTCAAAGCAAAGCTAAAGCAGAGCTGCATCGAGGCGTTACACTTTCAAAAGAAATCAAACCCACGACTCAACATCACTTGGCGTCCATCTTTGCCATCTCCTGCAGGTATATCCCAATGCTCTCGCTGTCAAACAGAACAAAGTAAATGTTCTTCAGAGAGGAGGTGGTTGCTGAGACAAAATGGTTCGAAATGGCCTTCAGTATTAGCTGGGCTGCTGTCTGCTTTGGGAAACCATTTCTGGGGGACCAAAAATCAAAGAGGTGAGATGATTTCTGGTTTCTAGGAACTATTTCTCACCACATTTGCATCGAAACAGCCACGCGGTGTATGAACTTCACATCTAGTTCACTATCCATGATCGTGATGCTCACCGTCCGGCGGGTAGCGAAGGGAAGGCCACCGACTTGAGCTTCTTCTCCTCGGCAGCAGACAGACAGTTCTTGACTGTTTTCTCGAGCTGATCTTCGCACTTCTCTGAACCCCACTGAGGAATGTGACAATGGATAATGAAACGTGCTGCCATCCCATTGGCTTGGCTCACAGCCACTGCAGAGCAGAGGGAATAAGAGATGCTCCAGTCAGAACAGCAGCAACAAGCAGAAACGTCTTACTTCAGTATCTACAGGGGATTTCTTCCCGCTTTCTTGTTTTACTTTTAAAGCTTCCACACTTTTTGATCAAAGGACTGAGGGAAATGAGTACTTGTTTTGGGCTGATTTTCTGTGGTATGTCAGGTAACAATCTTTGTAGAACACTTCTTAGTGTACAAATGTCTCCAAGCTATAAAAATCTTCAATTACTACTGAAGATTTTGCTCATTTCCACGACTTTTCCAGGCACGTTAATGATCCTACAAATCGCTGGTATCACTAGGTTTCCAAGACGGCTGTACTTTTTTTCTATATTAACATATATAACAAGGTCATTTCCTGCCCCTTTGAACATTGCTAGAGCACACACTCTAATTCGAGTCTGCTTTCTGTCAGCTTGTGTCAAGAAATGTGCGAGATTTCAACCTGATGCGACCTCCAAAGGACCCTGGCTTTTTCTCAGCTCCTTGACGGTCTCTAGGAAATCTTTTCCTCCTGCTTTCTCCAGAGCGTTACCTGTGTTACAGCACAGAAACTAAATGAGCCTTTGCCACATATTTCAATGTACAGGAAAACTGACACTTGCTACACAGATCTAGGATTTTACCATCTAGCAAATGCAATTGACATTAATTTAATAGTAGCTAACAGCAGCGTAATGCACTGACCGATTCCCTCTTTCAGATCAATCTCTGCGTTTGTGGGATTGATGATTCCTTCCACTTTGATCGTGCCGATTTTGCTGATTTCACTCTCTGTAAGGGACAGCTGATAAACAAACCACAGATAATTCATTATTGCATTAAATTTTAAATCACCAGTGTATTAGCACTGCTACCATAGAAATCAGCAAAAATACTACTATATAAAAATAACTGCTGATATAAAAATCCAAACTGCAAATATTGTGATGATTTTGAGTGGTGACTTGCAAGGCAAATTTGAATTCCAGTTGATTTAATTTAGGGGTTGCCAAGGCTAATAGCGCTGAGAATCCTGTCCCTCGTCTTAATTATTGTAGTCGTTTAAAGATTCTGTAAAATGATTCTGTATAACTGTATGAATGTTTAATTTGCAGATTTTCAAATTATTTTCAAATGTATCTTTAGTAAATATTATGCAAAATAAACAAATTGTTGTAAAGTGGAGTAGGTGGTATAATTTTATAATTATGATTTCTCAAGTTTTGTATACTGAAGCCCTAGGGCCTAGGGTGACGTCATATGCAACAGATTTGTTTAAAATCACATTCAAATTCATTTTCATACATTTCTTTTTTTGAGTTTTAATCAATACTATGTTAAATAAGTATTATATTATCATATATACTGTATCAGCTTTATATTTGCCAACGACCACCCTGCTGTCTTAAGATAATATAGAATATTTACTTCAAATATTTTTTGAATAATTAAAAAATAATTGACCAAATATTTACCTATTTAAATAAAGACACAAAGAAATGGTGTTGAAAAAATATAAGGCTGAGGGAGGGATCTTGGTGTTCTAAGGATTGTGATTATGGGGTGATGGTTATTGTATAAAAAACAGTAGTAGGGCATATATATATATTGCTCGAAATAAACTTAAACTCAACTCATAATGGCATTGGCCATCAAAAAATTAATATCGACCACAAGTTCTATGTTTCTGTAATTCTGTTCAGAATGTCAGTCGCAATGAATCAAAAACCTGATTCATTTGTTTAACCCAAGACTGTAAATATTAAAAGTGAAAAATATACGTAGGTAAATTACTAAATGTTCCTTGCATTCGAAGGTAAGTGTTAAAATAAGTCGAAAAATAACGAATTCTTGGTAATCTGTGATAAGCACAGCTATTTCCACCTTTTGTCCAAGGAACAAGCTTTTCGCAGAGAGAATAGTAAATCCCTCTCCTGGTCCGTCTTCCACTGTTGTGTTGGCATCTGCTTCTTTGTCATTCTCTGTGCTTTTCTGCATGAAAGAAACATTTTTTAGTATTCTCACAGCCAAACACGGTACCAGAGCAACATATCATACACACAGCACACACTTTGGGTTTGCGGCCTGGTTTTCCTTTGCTCTTTTTGCTGGGTTTCTTGATGGGTTTCCGCTTCTCCCTCTTCTCTGGAACGGTCACCTGAGTCTCCACCTTCACCCTGCCTCCTCTCTTCTTGGAGAGCAGCTCAGGATGGGTAAGAACAGCAGCAAACAGGTAAGATACAGAGAGACTGACACAAACTGGAGAAAGATAGCCATATAAACTGTAACTTGGATTCCTGATTAATACGTTTGTATAAATTAATACAGTTTCTGTGTTCGTCTCACAGTCCAATCAGTAATTTATAACATATTTATTTGGTAAATAGTCATGTAATTAGCAGGATAATGTACATCTTGGTGGTCGATATTGGAAAAAAAAAAAAAGCCTAGTTATTTGTTTCTTTTGATTTCGTTTTTTTTTTTTTGATGGATGAAATGTGCCGTGCCCAGGACACGTTCCTCACATATTTCATGAGATTTACTCATATAAAAATCGTTTATAAGCACTGCATGCTATAAAGTATTTATTCATGTTGACCAATTCACACAGTTTTTACATATTTATTTTGTGGACTAAAAGAAGGCACGAAAACCACACCATTTAGCCCATCTACCGTTACACAAACATGACCCCGGGTCTGCGAATGGCTCTCAGCCTGCAGCGACCCCGGGCCCGCACTGCCATCGCGAATTAAAGGCGCAGCGCTTGTTTTAAGATAAACACCGGACATTCATAAACACGGAACGCGATTCTATAAAAAAAGTTTCGCCTCGAATATGGGTGACAAAAGACCCGCCTCCTGCCTGCAACAGCACGTTAACACCATTACATTCAGTCAGGATGCGGTACGTGATCGCGAGGCCATCGCCAAATCAGCGATTCAAAGCGTACGATCAAAGGCCTCGCCTTAACTTCACTGCTTCTCCATTAAACGCGCACAAAACACGGACACGTTTGTATTCCGAACACATTAGGTCGTGCACAAATTCAAAATTGTGGTTTCTAACCCCGCTCCTCCGACATCAACCCACCCCCATTTTGTTTTCACCTCGTTGCATTTACATACAGTAAAACATCGCAAGCGAGTGATGCGTTTCAACGCGACGCGACACAACGGCAACGTTGTTGTTCTAATCAACGCATCTGCAAGCGAGCTGCGTTCGGCTTCGTGTTTTATAATGCGAACGCGGTGGTCGTTTCGTCGCGCGCGTCGCGTACAGTGTGCTCGAGCCGTATTCGCATGCATCGCATCGCGCGCTAATCAACTCAATATCTCGTGCCAATATTTACCTGTTTGTTCTCTACAAATGCGTCATATACGAAATATATCTGTCCTCTGACAGGCGCAAATAAGGAGGAGGAGTTCCTGGTCTTATTCCTATTCCCTGTCCTTGTGTGCTGAGCCTCTGCTGTTCCTTACCAAAAAAAAAAAAAATTAGAGAGATAGAGACACCGCGAAAAACTACAGCAGCCAGTACCACTGTACTGTCGATGGAGGCAGGCTTTAGGCTACTGCTGCTTCTCATTAAAAAAAACCCCATTGCATTCAAAATATGAAATACATTAGAGCGCAGCCAATGCTATTCATGCTGAATGCACCTATAAGCGAATATGGGATATATTATGTGGATATGATGCATTATCAATCTCATCCAAGAGGCGGTTATTAGAGCAGCGTGCAAAAACAAATCGTCACAGCCAGCTGCAGGTGACTGGGAGATTGATACTTACTGTAAAAAGCTCTCTTCACCTGGTCTCTACGCGATGGTGTGGCGATCTTCATGCATTTTCACCTCTCGTGGCGCCTAATGAACAATCTGATGTGCGCTTTGAAATATTAACCTCACGTAGAGTGGTGCACTTAAAAATCAAACCTCTTCATTGTGAGTTAGATTGCTATATAGCTGCTTGGTTTTGTATATAAATCTCTGGTTAATGCAGAATCTAATGTGCGCTGAAAGGCTCGAATAATGGCCTGTTTCAATGGCGTTTAGTGTCTGCACAATCTGTGCTAGACCAAACTGGTTCTACAGAGGGCAGTCAGAGATCAGAATTCAGATGCGCGGTTGTGTTGCTGGGGTCCGGTAGGGAGCGGTGTTGTATTATGTTGGGTTATGCTTCCCCAGGGCCCATCAGACAAGGACTAGCGTTGCTCTGGGACGAACCAGAGTCAAATAGAAATGTTGTATGTACATTTCAAGCATGCACATTGCATAAAATATGTTTTAAATTAATTGAGCAAATTCAGGTTACATAGCAGGATTGCGAGAAACATCTTTAATGAGACACGTAATCAGGTTTTATGTTTTCATCCAAAATATCGCTTGCTGAAGGGGTTTTTAATCTTCTAGATGCCATGGTTCCCAAATATGATCATCCTTATGCGAGGAACCCCATCCTAAAATTGAAAAGGCAGCTATATATATTTAGAAGACCCAAATTATACTATGAATGAAATAATATAATACATTCATTAGAGTTGTTATTAATTTTTTTGCTCACTAAATTACTGGGTGTCAAGTTTTGATTATTCATCAGCTGGAAAAAAGTTCTGATTGTATATTTTTTCCTCGGTGTCCTTATCGTAATAGCTGTGGTGTGGACTTATTAAAACTTCATTGTTGATATTATCATTATCAGTAATGTTACAGTTGTTGTCCTTGGTGTGAGCAGGTCTTTACTGTACTAGATTGTTTTGTTTTTTTTCATCTTCTTTAACCATATCCACAGAGACCCTTCTTACGCAATCCTTTCTTAAATGATTTTGTCTAAAAAAAAAAAATACTTTTGAAAGAAGCCGACAAGATTCTATGTTAAAATTGCTTCTGAACTAACACAATGTGTAATTTCTGAAGTCACCTGTGTTAAATGTTTAGATGGTAAGTGACAGTAAAAATAAATAAATAAATAATCTTTTTAAAAAAATATTGTATATAACAAAAAATATAGAGGACGGCTGAGTCTGCAATACCCATTGTGTGGCAGATTCCGTACGCTACCACAGAGAGACTTTGAAAACGATTTCCCCAGCCCTACACACTCTTCTGGGGCAACTTTCAGGGATAAAGTGAGCCTTTGTGGTGTGGACTTATTAAAACTTCATTGTTGATATTATCATTATCAGTAATGTTACAGTTGTTGTCCTTGGTGTGAGCAGGTCTTTACTGTACTAGATTGTTTTGTTTTTTTTCATCTTCTTTAACCATATCCACAGAGACCCTTCTTACGCAATCCTTTCTTAAATGATTTTGTCTAAAAAAAAAAAAAACTTTTGAAAGAAGCCGACAAGATTCTATGTTAAAATTGCTTCTGAACTAACACAATGTGTAATTTCTGAAGTCACCTGTGTTAAATGTTTAGATGGTAAGTGACAGTAAAAATAAATAAATAAATAATCTTTAAAAAAAATATTGTATATAACAAAAAATATAGAGGACGGCTGAGTCTGCAATACCCATTGTGTGGCAGATTCCGTACGCTACCACAGAGAGACTTTGAAAACGATTTCCCCAGCCCTACACACTCTTCTGGGGCAACTTTCAGGGATAAAGTGAGCCTTGCCTTCAGAACAGGCCCAGTAGGATTCTGGGAGTAGCGACATGCGTGCTCTTAGTCAGCAGAGCCAGACTGAATTATCTAAACACCTGGTTCCAGCAATCTAAACAAAGAACTGGTGCTGACTGGACCTGGTCTGGGGCCCTCGGCTCCAGCATCTCTGTGATATCGAGCTCAAATAGAAGTATGACATAAAACTCAGTCTGTCTCAGGTTTGGTGATGTTTAGAGAAATTACATCTTCTCTTAGTGAGGAAAACTAAATGAAATGTGCTGCATCAGCAAGCTGAAGAGAAAATCATTTTCCTTTATTTTAATAGTGCGAGCTGAATGTAAATACAGACAGTATGCTTATTTGTGGTGAAATCTGACTTCTCAAAATATACATCTTACAGAGTATAACATCACATAAATTCCAACCTGTGTTACATGCAAAATGAAGCTGTTTTTTTATGTTTTCCATCTGTGTTTTCTTATAGCCGTTTGGTGTCTTGACGCTGAATACATTTTCCCTACTTGCTTATTTTAGCACTCTTCCAAGTAATATACCACTGATATATACCTTCTTATTCTCTATAGGAGTGCGAGCAAGTTATTTATTGTGGGAACCTGTCAATAGATATATCCTTATTGCACTGTCCATTATGCATTTCTTCTTTAAGAATTACATCATAAATTAACATTTTAAAAACTGTTTTGTATAAGGGATGTTTATGATGCCGTATAATTTTTTGAAAGATTATGTTTGTGAATGAGAAGTGATTGTGTGAGATTGTTTGAAGATTTGATGTTAGCTTGTTGTCTTGTCGAGATGTTGAAGTTTTGCCTGGTCTTGTGTCTTTTAAGCCTCTGTTAGTTTTAAATTTACTGTATGGTGGTTTTGTACTCTTGATTTGGAGAAACTGACATATATAATTAGAGGAAACGTAGATGTATTAAGTAAGATAGGACCCCCTTTATACAATTTGTTAACAGTTATTATTATTTAACAATAGCAAATTCTAAATGCAACTAATTTTCTTGTGTTAATGAATGAATACATTTTTTCATCATATGTTGGGATTTCATTTTTATTCTATTATTATTATCATTTTAACTATTATATACAGTGGTGGCCAAAATTATTAGAACTCTAGTATTTTTACCAGCTAAAAAGGTTTTAAGTCAGTTATTTTTATCTTTTTATCTTTTGCTGTAGTGTGTCAGAAATATCAGTTTACATTTCCAAACATTCATTTAGCCATTAATTGTAATAATCCAGTGAGATTTTTGTCTGACAGCAGCCAGTGCTCCACACAGAGATCTGATCTGATCATCATCCAGTCTGTCTGAGATTACATGAAGAAACAGAACAAACTGAGACAGACTAAATCCAGAAGAACTGTGATTTCATCAGGCTCCGAAAATTCTTCAAAAAGAACACAAAGAATGGCCTTCTCAGCTGCCATAGTTACAAGTCTTGCGTCATCAGAACAGCGTGTTCAACGCACCACCGTTTCCGTAAAAAAAAAACGCCAGTGGCAGGCTAGTATAGTTCATCTCGAACAAGCCTACTATCCTGACGGCTGATGAGCGTGTCCCCAAACATGGCTGCGA